TTTCTAGAGCAATAAAGTAACTATAATGTTAAGTAAACAATAAAAAATTTTTAATAAAATAAAAAAGATAATTGACTTTTTAAAGAAAAATAAAAATCAATTGCAGGGTTTGTAACATATGTAGAAATATAAGATAACAATAGTATAAAGGCCAGGGGAGAGGAAATGGAAGGATACTGTTATAAGGTCCTTATACCATACATGAAAAGAGGGGACTACTCAAGGCCAGAAGAAAAAACCACTTGGAAGAAGAGTTCTCTCACACTCATGCTCTGATAAATACTCACTTGAAAACTGGAAGGCAATCTCTTAGTCTCTTTCTATGCAACTCTCTCCTCTCTGTGAAAGTTTCCTTTTCAGTACTCTTCTCTGCAAGTTCTAGTTCTCTTGGTCTCCCTGAATTTTCAACTCTGTCTTCTCAACTTAGGGAGACTTCAGGGCTCTGCTTGGGGTCCTTCTCCCTGGGTTTTGTTGTATAAGTTCTCTAGGCAGGATGCAGTAAGCTGGGGCAATCATAGGATTCACCTAATTTTTTCCCATTTTTGTGATCACTGTTCTACACTCTTAAAAGCTTAATCTTTGTGTGTGTGTGTGTGTGTGTGTGTGTGTGTTTGTGGTTGGATATACATTTGACCCTAGAACAACCCAGGTTTGAACTGCATGGGTCCACTTAAAAGTGGATTTTTTTTCAGTAGTAAGTACTGTAGTACTACACGATTTCCAGTTGCTTGAATCCACGGATATGGAACTGTAGATACAGAACCACAGATATGGAGGAACAGCCTGTATAAAGGGCCAACTGTAAGTTATAAGCGGATTTTTGGCTGGGCAGAGGGTCATGTTGTTCAGGCATCAACTGTATATTTTTTAGATTAATTCAGGATTTTGACTTTACTGAAAGTAAGCATAGCAATTGGCACATAGTGGATAGTCAGTAAATGTTTAAATGAAATAAATGAGAGGATTTGGTCTAGGAGCTTATTATAGGATCTATCAGAGTTGCTTAGGCATTGCTGTTTCTTTTTCTTTCTTCTTTTTAAAAATTAATTTATTTGGCTGTGTTGGGTCTTCATTTCTGTGAGAGGACTTTCTCTAGTTGTGGCGAGCGGGGCCACTCTTCATCGCGGTGCGCGGGCCTCTCACTATCGTGGCCTCTCTTGTTGCGGAGCACAAGCTCCAGACGTGCAGGCTCAGTAGTTGTGGCTCACGGGCCTATTTGCTCCGTGGCATGTGGGATCTTCCCAGACCAGGGCTCGAACCTGTGTCCCCTGCATTGGCAGGCAGATTCTCAACCACTGCGCCACCAGGGAAGGCCCATTGCTGTTTCTTAATGAAGGTATTGGGATGTCATGTAATTGACTAGTTTTTATCATATATGGGTATTTGTTGAAATTTACTGGTGAACTATAAGTTTCTTAATTCATGGGCAAATGAAATAACTGTTTCATACATTAAATAAGTATAGGTAATTATTTTTATTAAGTCCAAAAATTAGATTGAAAAATCACAAGCAAAACTAGACAAGTTACCTGACATAGTTCTGGCAGGTGTTTTTGGAAAGCAAGGTATGTATGTTGTAGTTATATGCTTAAAGTTTTTTCTCAGTTTTTACAAAATAAAATTTTCTTAAAAAAAAATTAAGTGTAGAATTTTTTTGTTTGTTTGTAATCGTTGACTATCCAGTTCTAGTATGATTGGAACAAATATCATTTAAATGAAAGTGCTCTTAATAGTGTTTTGTCTTTGAGATAGCCACTTATTTCTAAATTTCTGAAATGATAGATTTTCAGAAGAAGGCAAAGTTTTCCAGTAAAGTAGTTTTTGATGCTCTGGATGTCAGGTGAATTTATATGAAAGGCCCAGATTTTGGGGGGTTCTTAGACGGAGGAAGTGTAAGTCATCATTTCCGAAACATCATTTAAATATCACATTAATGATCTTTCCCATATTAGTCATTTCTTCTATTTTTTGGCTAATTTTACTTTATATTTTTTCTTAAATTTTTAAAAAAATCATAGATGCATTTGTTTAGAAAAGAAACAAATGGAAAAGCATTCTCATTGCCGTAGAGGGTAACCGTAAAAATGAAAACAGTGAATACAAAACAGTGGTAATAAATTTTAGCTAGATTCTGTTGCCAGTTGAAGTCTCTAAGCTGAAGCCTGCTCTCTGTTAAGAAGGGAGTTTAGCAAGTGTTACAGAAGTGTTAAAGACATGTTAGTGCCAAACTGAGACATTGTCCTTGATATTATCTGTGATAAAAGAATTGAAACGGGACTAGTTTTCTCACTGTGATTCAGTGTTACTTAGTGTCATGTCCAGACTTTTTGAAGCACATTGTAAGAAGGTGTATTCTCATGAAGAAAAGAAAAGGGACTTGTATTTATTCCTAAAAAGGCAGAAAGAAAGAGAGAAAGTAAGTGTAGGATCTGGAGATATGACATTAAAAGAATGAGATATTATGGTGCCTTCAGAAAATGCTTGAATGAAATTTAGAAATGGGTCTGATTTTATTTTGGCAGAAAGATTTGCAGTTCAATCAGCTTTCTAGTCATTGATTTACCTTTTCTGTTAGTTTTATATTTCCATTAATTTTCGTTTAGCACTCAAAATAATCTAGTTATTTTTAAATATTCATGCATGTTTTTTGAATTCACTAGAGGATAGTAGAAAATGAGAAAATTAATGCAGAAAAGTCATCAAAACAGAAAGTGGATCTCCAGTCTTTGCCAACTCGTGCCTATCTGGATCAGACAGTTGTGCCTATCTTATTACAAGGACTTGCTGTGCTTGCAAAGGAAAGGTAAGATAATAGTGTCTGCAAATGGAGTTACCAGAAAAAGCAAAATAAAAACTTCCCTAGTTGAAATATCATGAGTTATGTATAGTTATTTTTTACTATATAAGGAATTTATAGATACTGAAGTTTTTTTAAAAACAAGTCAGCCATAATCTCAATTAAGACACTTATTTTTCTACTAGTCTTAGATCATATGCATATTTGTAATCATGGTATACATGTAATTTTATATCTCCTTTTTACTTAAAATTATAAGATAAAACTTCTCCCATATCTTTACAGAGCCTTCATGATTATAAATGAAATTATAATATCACAGTTAACTTAGCCATTTTCTTGTTGTTGACCATTTAGGACCAATTTCTTTTGTTATTATTGATCACCAGGTAGTTTATCTGTTTTTATACCCTTTTACTTTTGTTTAATTACTTTATGATAAATACCCAAGAATTGGTTTGCTATTTCAAATGACATGACTATTTTTATAGTGTTTGACACATAATATCATATTTCTGTCCAAAAGTTTATCCTTAAAATTCTTTAGGTGTCATCATAGCCTCAAGTGCATGCGTGTTATAAACTTTTTTTTGCCAAGTTTTTTTAATTTACATTTCTTTATTAGCACAATTACAGTTTTTCTCTTTTCTGTACATGTTTTCTGTACAAAAATTCTTTTTGTATAAGTAAATCCAATAAGAAAATTTTGTTGTAAGTTACATTAGTCAACATTTATTGGGTGTAAATTATGTTTTTCTCAAAGACTAATAATGAACACTGTAGTAAACTGACATAACTTGATAAGGAACTTGATGGAACATATCTGAGTTATTTAGAATAGGTGTATTACTTAGTTTTATTTTTTAATTAATTTATTTTTATTACTTAGTGTTAAGTTAAAAAATTAAATGAATAAACAATAAGTATTTGTTTTGGATTGTTATATTTATAAAATAGGATTTATTTTTGACTGCAAGATATGTCTTGGCTCTACTACTGACAATTAAAATATGGGCATCTTTTATGCATTTTTGTTCTTTTTCTAGAGAAGGCCAATATATCAGAATTCTAAATATTACTTTAAATGCTAAAAGAAAAGAATTTGAAGAAGTTTTACAGTAACATTCTATTAGTAAATACAGTTTTTAAGTAAGCATTCTAGCAAAATAATTAATCAAATTAACTGTAAATATTATGTAACAAGTATTGTCTCTGTCTAGTTAGTTCAAAAGGCTGTTTAAAGTGCTAGGAGAATGTTTTGAGATCATTGTAAATCAATTCTAAATATGCCTTTTTTTTTTTTTTTAAAATATGCCTTTTTATAGTAGGGTTTAAAGTAGATGTTTCCCCCAACTTTTCATCTTTGGACCTGTTTTATCAGCAACAGCAACATATGTAAAAGTGATAAATATGAAATAACACCTCTTTATTTTATTAAAAATTTTTTTCCAGTTTTGAGAAAAAATTTACATACGTCACTTTATAAGTTTAAGGTATACAGCGTGATGGTTTGATTTACATATGTTGTGAAATGATTACCACACAGGTTTAGTTAACATCCATGATCTCATATATACAATATATACATATACAATAAAAAGGAAAAAAAGAAAAAAATTTTCTTCTTGTGATGAGAACTCTTAGGATCTACTCTTTTAACAACTTTCCTGTATATCATACAGCAGTGTCAGCTATAGTCGTCATGTCGTACTTTATACCCCTAGTACTTAGAACTGGAATTTTGTACCACCTTCCTCCAACAACCCCTCTCTCTCACCTCCTAATTTTAAAATATGTTTAAGGGACTTCCCTGGCGGTCCAGTGGTTAAGACTCCGTGCTTCCACTGCAGGGGGCACAGGTTTGATCCCTGGTGAGGGAACTAAGATGCCACATGCTGCACGGTGTGGCCAAAAAAACAGAAAAAAAAAGATGTTTTCATTATGGGACAATACATTTAAATTAACACGTCTCGAATATAAATTTCTAAATTTTGGATTTCTTTTCCCTTACAGACCACCAAATCCCATTGAATTTCTAGCATCCTATCTTTTAAAAAACAAGGCACAGTTTGAAGATCGAAACTGACTTATTGGGAAGAACAGAAAAATTTGGTTTCCACTGTAGATTTACATGATTAAGAGGCAACTTTAATTGCCATGATTCCCCCCCCCCATTTTGGAAGTATAAGAATCATCAGGACAGCAGAACTTATTTTGGAGTTGCAGAAGAAGACATATCTCCCTTATTGATTTAATCACATACTTATTTAATGAGTGTATTCTGTGCAGTTTTTTCTCAGATTGTCTTTAACTTTGTTTTTAAAATGACCTTCAAAATAAACTGTTAAAACATCATTATCTTACAGTAGTGTTTGTTCTATATGACAAATATTTTATGTGGTTCAGTTGTTTTCATGTATTACTTATTCCTTGTGTCTTAGAATGCTGCAGAGTTTTACAACAGTGTGAAAATACACCAGAGTCAAGTAGAATATAAAAAAATCTCAGCCAGTTTTTCTAGCGTTGTTCCTGGACCTCTTGGAGGGTAGGATTTGGGCATCTTCAGTTTTTAACAAACATCACCAGTGATTCTAATGCACAATAAATTGGTTTTTTTTCACAATAAATTTTGGAGTGCTGTTAAGCATTGCGGAGGGTGTACAATATCCTTCAATGCTATCAACCTTTATGGTATTAATATAATAATAGCTATCATTTATTGCAGTTCTACTATGTGTCAGGCACAGAACTATTTTATTTGTTATCTCTAATGTAGCAATTCTGCAAAGTAGATGTTGTTATTCCCATTTTGCAGATGAGGAAACAGATTTGGAGAGGTTAAGCGACTTGCTCAAGACCACACTGCTGGTAAGTTCTTGAACGGGCATTCAAACCCAGTTCTACCAATGTGCTTCTGATAGCTAAGTGAGAAGTACTTGTGCTAGTTAACATATTGCTTCTTTTCGCAATAAAACACACCAGCTAGTCCTTTTTTTTGGGTCTGCTCACTTTGTCCTGTATGAAGAAATTGAGATAATGCACTAGCTCAGAAAAGAGAAAATTGAAGAGAGCCAGGAAGGATAAACATTCGGTGGAGCAGTGGTTTCTCAGCTGGGAGTGATTTTGTCCCCCCTTGCCCCAAGGGACATTTGGCGATGTCCAGAAGCATTTTGGTTGTCACGACTGGAGCAAGGTGGGATTCTACTGGCATCTAGTGGGTAATGGCCAGTGATGCTGCTAAATATCTTAACGATGCGCAGGACAGCCTGGGTGCCCCACCCATCTCTAAGAATCATCCAGCTCAAAATGTTAGTAGAGCTAAGGTTGAGAAACCCTGCTTTGGAAGCATATATTAAAGACATGTCTCCCAAGGTAAACATGTGAAGGCAAAGTTAGAAATTTAATGCTGATGAGGTGTGTCTTATAGTTCTCTTTAATATAGGAAAAACATTTCAGTAGGAGTGACACTTTTGGGGAGGTGATATGATGGTTTTGATATACATCTGCAGATCTATAGGTTTGAATAGGAAAAACCTGGAAATATTGAGCTCTCAATATTTATGCTTATGTAGTAGTTTTCGTAACTTAATTTCATTAAATTTATTTTGGTGATTTGACTAACTCATAAGTTAATCTGTCTATGTCTTTTAATGATATTTTAATATTCGAGTAAGTACTAACTGGGTAGTCTTTTATTAAAGCATCAATAATTTTATCTTCTTAACAGTTCTTCATCAGCGATTCACATCAGAGCCACTTGTGGAACTTTTCATATATAAATATATAAAAAAATATATTAAAAATATATAAATTATATCTCTCTGTGTTATATATCTCTTTTATACATCTATATATCGATGCGTACCTGGATCCTGGAGAGCCTGTTTCAACTGGGATAGAGCCTGGACTTCTGAATTTGACAAAAACTCTAAGGCATTCTGATACCACCTTTGGTTAATGACCACTTAGAAGTAATTCAGTACTCTGCCTAACGCTGCATGGCTTCCAGTGTTCTAATGAATTATCTTCAAGATAGGGCTTAAATTAATCGTAAAATCGATACTTTTTTCTGTAAGGGCTGAGAATAGGCATGTCTTGCTGGCAGTGCACATCCTACTTAGCACTTAACCATATGCCAGGCACCATGCTAAATACTTTACATGAATTGTCATTTAACCTCAAAACCCTGTGAGGTAGGTTTAATTTTAATACCTCACTTTTAGAGGAGGAAAGTGAGATTTGGTTAACTTGCTTAAGGCTGCAGGGGAAGTAAGTTTGGGGCAGGGATTCATACCCAGTTTAATGCTATATTACCTCCCTGCCCTGAATGCTGTAGTACTCTCTGCTCTAATGCTCTCAGATGTGCTTAAAAGTTTTCTTTGGGGGAAAAATCAGTCTGCCCTTATGTGTATACAATAGAAGCCCTCTTATCTAGCTGGTAGATGAAAAATAGAAAAATAGGAGTCATAGTAAGGAAACATAAATGACACTGTGAACAGTTTTTTGTAAAACTTAGAAAATATTAATCTATATTAACTTGGTAATATTTTGATGTCAGCCTTTGCTCTGAGTATGGGTTCTTTGATTGGAATTCTGTATCTTCCTTCCACAAACCACTCCTATAATGTATGGTTTACAAATTTCAGTTTCAGATTTTTTGACAGTAGCGTAAGATCTTAGACATTTAAGATCTTAATTCTTAAGGCATTAAGTGTATAATGATACACTTTTTCATGATTTTTTTTCTCCAGCCATCTTATCTGCCTCTAATTTGACAGTTGTTTTTATTGAGTCCAAAGCATTCCACCTAATTTTTGTACTAACACCTTTTGCATTATGTGTTTGTGTTTCATTGGTTTATGTAATATTTTATTAAATTATGTAATGGCAGTACTTTGTACATCTCGTATAAATAGGTTGGAGAACATGATTGACCCTTGTTAGTTATGCACACAAACCTGGGAGAAGAGTGCAACAGTGTGAGTTTCCTAAAAAGTGTAGTCTACCATCTTCAAGAATTCAGCTTGTGGTGGGCATGGTTCAGTGTATTTTACTATGGGGATGGACAGCATCACTTAGTCCAGTAAGTTGCTTAAATAGAAATCAGTTAACAAAGCTTCTACTATACTTTGATGAGGTATTTCATGTGTAGCTGACAATTATACTATAGAAACAATTCCTACCCTTTGACTGCTTAGTCAGGAAGATAATGTTTAATAAACGTATACAGTAATAGAGTAAAAGGTACTGTATCCTGTAGAGTGAATTCTTGAAAAATGTGGACAAGTGGGAGGACCAATAGAGTAAATCAGGAATAGATTCCTAGAGGATATAGAGGCCTTGAATTGAAAAAACAGAAAAATAGGGAATTCCCTGGAGGTCCAGTGGTTAGGACTTAATCCTTTCACTGCCGAGGGCACAGGTTCAATCCCTGGTCGGGGAACTAAGATCCAACAAGCCGTGGCCAAAAAAGAAAGAAAAAGAAAGAAAAAGAAAGAACAGGGCTTCCCTGGTGGCACAGTGGTTGAGAGTCCGCCTGCCGATGCAGGGAGCGCGGGTTCGTGACCCGGTCCGGGAAGATCCCACATGCCACGGAGTGGCTGGGCCCGTGAGCCATGGCCGCTGAGCCTGCGCGTCCGGAGCCTATGCTCCGCAACGGGAGAGGCCACAACAGTGAGAGGCCCGCGTACCACAAAAAAAAAAAAAAGGAAAAAGAAAGAACAGAAAAATAGTTTGGATAGAAGGAAACTGTTTACCTAATTCTGATGAACCTATGGGGAGAATATTGAACCTTTGTTTAAATCTCTTTGTTTAGGAGAAGGTATAGGAGATTTTAAGATTGATAACTTCCCATTAGCAACATGATAGGATGGCTGTAGGGACAGCATAAAATATTGTAGCCAGGTATTTTCCTGGACTGGATTCCAGAAAGGCAGTAACAAATTGGAGGCCTGATACATATTGTCTAACTGTAGCAACAAGGGACAAAAGATGGAAGGTGTAAATGACTATCACTGAGAATCCACTTGTTTAAAATCTCTGGATTTAAAGAAGGAAAGTAATATAATAGTGGAAAATAGGTCACCAGAGCTAAAGGGGGCAATCAGTAATGAATAAGAATTTTCTTTTTAAGAAAACTCTTGTCAGCCTTTAAAAAAACTTCAAATCTTTTGACTCAGTTGTTTAATTTCTGGGAATCCTAAATAATATTAACAATAAATTTGGAAAAAGCTCTGTGTACAAAATTTACTCCAAAAATTTGGAAATGAACAAGTTTTCATCTTGTAAGAATCATTAACTATGTAAAGTACTTAGCCTAGTGTCAGGTGCATAGTAAGTGTTTAATAAATGTTACTTATTAAGTTTGGTTTCTAAAGAAGAAAAGAGCAAAGTCAACTGATACTAGGTTAGAGTACCAGTGTTAATTGAAATTAAAAGAGCATCTTTATGCTAAACTCCCTTCTCTCAACCTTGACTTTTTCAAAACCCGGTGGTATCATTCTAGAATATTTTTCTGACAAAGGGCTTTTAGCAATTAGGGGGCTCCTCGAGGTGTCAGTTGTGGATAAGTAAAATCTAAAAATGGGCAATTTAATATTGCCATATAGGCTCCCAAAATCAAGCCTAATAAATTATTTAATAAATAATTATTGCTGGGTATAGGTAGTATATGTATATGGCACAAAATTCAAAAGATATACAAAGATGTACATTGACCGTTACCAGTTTGTTTCCTTCTAGAAGTATGCCATGTATATGCAAGTGTGTGAGAATATAAGTACTTGTTTTTACACAAATGGTAGCATACTTTACACATTGTTCTGCAATTTGCCTTTTGCATTTTTTTGGGGTGGGCAGCTCTTTCCATGACAGTATATAGCACCACCTTATTCTTTTTAATGGGTGTATATGTATGGGTATACCCTAATTTAACAAGTCTTATTGACAGACACTGTGGTTGTTTCTAGTCGTTTGCTAGTACAGACTGATGCAGTGACTATCCAACATGCTATTTCAGAAGGTGTGTTATTAATGTTGGGCTCTGGGTGCCTTATTTGTTGAAGTCTGTGCTTCATAAGGACTCTCTGTTAATGAAGATTTCCTCCTTGCCTTTAACTTGGATGATGTTTATGGAGCGTCAAACCCAAATCCCTGGTGGATATAATGGAAATTTTTTTTTTTTTTTTTTTTTTTGGCCGCACCACGCGGCACGTGGGATCTTAGTTCCCTCACTAGGGATTGAACCCACGCCCCCTTCAGTGGAAGCACGGAGTCTTAACCATCGGACCACCGGGGAAGTCCCTGGAAATTGTTAATAATAACATGGGAATTGTACAGTATTGCCAAACAGGCTTCTTCTAGGATATGAAGTATTTTGCATTATATGGATCTTCCTTAATTTAGGGGATGTGGGTGAGTAGTTTCAACATTTCTTTCAAGAGTACATCCTTGAGTAAGGTAGCCAGAATAAAATGGACAGGAGGAGTAATGATGGGATATGTTAAGAGCATTCTAGAAATAATAGAAGATCCTCTAACCTTTCACTTTGCTTGGCATTGTGGTTTTGCTGAGTTTGATCAGTAAGAAAAATCCTTTGGGGAAAGAAGCCTCCAACTGAGCATTTTAATAGGGAGGAAGCTTAATTTTAGATTACATTACTAGTTTGGAATGAGACCTAGGATTGTTGCTAGGAGCAGAGGATAATGATAAAACATTTATAAAGAACAGCTTATAAATTGTTTTCATGATACTTAATGATTCTCACAGCAAGCCTGTGAGTTACATATGACTGCTGTTTGCATTTGACAGATGAGAAAACAGCGTTGAAAAAGTTAAATTACTAGGTATCCATAATCACACAGCTGATGAGTGACAGAGCAATCAACATTCTTACACCGTATCAACCATATCAACTATTTCCTTTTCTTGAAATTTACAATGAAAAGTTTACCATTTCATCAGGTATCACTGAGTTTTGCTTCTTCAGGAAGAGTACCAGGGAATCAGCTCCAGCCCTCCTTTTTCTGTTATCCCTAAATTGACTACTTGGCATGTCCTTTTTTTTTTTTTTCCTGTGTAATAGCTTAATATTTGGGCAGGTTAGTGGTGAAGTGAGAGGGTTAAAATTTGAGTAAAGAACTATACAGAGTGGAGATTTTTTTTTTCCAGCTTAAAACCAGTGTATAAGAAGGTGTGAAAGTCAGAAGTTCCAGTAATTGACCAGGACTGGGATCTCATGCAAGATCCTTGAGCCTTAAAATTGAAAAGGTGAGAGGAGGGGTAGAAACTATATAGTACCTGAAAAAAAAATCTATTATATGACACTAGGAAAACTTGAAAATTAAGCAGTCAGTCGTTTGTTTTGGACTCTACCGGGGATCTGTTTAGTGTGAAATTCAGATATAACAATTTTTATGATTTTAACTCCAAGTCTTTCATTGAAGGTATGCAACTTTCTCTTACTCTCTTCCCAGTTTTGGAATGGTCTACTCCATGACATTTCCTTGGAGGTCCAAGATATTCTACTTTGCTGTGATTCTTGTATAATTTTAACGTAATTCTTTGTTCCTGACACGTGGGATTTAAAAGATAATGGAGGGTTGGAAATAATGTTTGTTGTATGACTACTCTATCAGGCTCTTTACATTTATTAACTCATAAACCTAGGGACACACCTTGAGTATTGTTATACCCATTTTATAGATGAGAATAACTGAGGCTAGCTATATCACACTGTAGTCTAGTTACGGAGTTAAGACATGCAATTACATAAATATAACTTGAAACAAGATAACTGTTTACAGTGTAAGAGCCATGATTAGACGGTAAGAGTGGCCCGGTGAAGCAAAAAGTAGCATTTGCAGGACCACAGGCACACACCACATGCTTGCTTCTACAAATGAACTTCCCATCGTGGCCACAGACTTGCGTGCCTAGTAGTGAAACCTTGGGGGTGAGCATCCACTAAGGATTCCTGTGTGTGGCTGGGAAGACAGGGGACTTTCCACGTGGAAAGCCGCACCGTCTTGCCCTGGGTGCTCTGCGTTTAAGGAAGTTGGTTGGGGGAGGGGGCTTGCCCTGCGGCTGCGTCCTACTCCCCGCGCCCTCCCCCTCCCAGCCTCTGCTGCAGCTAAACCCCGGAGAGCGGACCGCGCACGTCGATATTCCTCGGCGGGCCTGGCAGAGGCTGCTGGGCATGCTCAGTGGGCAGGACCCGTTAGAGTGGCGAGTAAGGAAGCGTTGGCTCTTCTCCGGGTCTGCCTTCCCCGGTTCAGGCCCCGGCCCTGGGCTTTTGTGTGCGCGGAGCAGCAGCCGCCGCTGCCTCCCCGCGGGGCCGCCCGACCCCAGATGCCGTGTGGCCTGTCCGGTGTCCGCCGTTAACCTCGCCGCGCGGCCGGAGGAGGAGCGGGGCGGGGCGGGGCCGGCGGGCCGGCAGCCGGGCGGGCAGGAGGGCCCCGCCGGGGGTGGGGGTGGGTGCGGGGAGTCCCGCGGGGGGTGGGGGGAGGGGGCGGGCGCGGAGTCACGGGGGGGGGGTCACCGGCGGGGGGGCTCGGGGGGCCAGACGGGCGGGGGGGGGGGCCGTGGGGGTGGCTCGGCGGAACCAGCCCCGGCTGGGGAGCAGCGGCGACTTTGGGGGCCGGGGCCAGGGCTTTCCGGGCTTCGGTGAGGCCGCCGCGGGCCCCGTCTTCCGGCGGCCGCCCGAGTTTGAGGTGATTGTTGCCGCCGCCGCCGCCGCCACCGCCCCGGCTGCCATCTCCTCCTCCTCCCGGGCCGCCGCCTCCTCCTCTTCCTCCTCCTCCTGGGCCGGGCTGATCCCCTCCCCGCTGCCGCCTCCTCCTGGGCTGGGCCCGCGGTGTCTCGTCCCCTCGCGGAGCCGCTCCTGCCGCCGCCGCCGCCGCCTCCTCATTCATCCTCGTGCACCATAGGCGGCACAGGCACCAAGATGTCCAACCGAGTGGTCTGCCGGGAAGCCAGTCACGCCGGGAGCTGGTACACAGCCTCAGGTAGGGCCCCAGGCCGGCCGGCCCTTCCGCCGCCGCTGCCTGGCCCCGCGCCCGGCCGGCCGAGGTCGGCGGCCCGGCCCCGCGCGGCGGCGGGAGAGACGAGGGCGCTGACGGCCGCCGGCCGCGGACCGCGTGGGGAGGGAGCGGGCCGGAGGCTGGCCTCGCCGCCTTCCCACCCGGGCGGCATCCCGCCGGTCAGCCCGGGGTCGGCCTCCCTCACGCTCTGCCGGGAGTTGGGCGAGAGGGAGAGTTGCCGCCTCGGCAGCCTGCGCCCTCCCTCAGGACCAGGCTCGAGGAAAGAATGTGCTCCCCGACCGAGCCTACTTGTCGCCTCCTCCGGCTCCCGGGAAGCGGGCGGCCGGCCGCAGCCACCCCCCGGGGGGACGGTTAGCCCTGCGCCCTAGCGCTGCTTCCTCCGTACGGAGCCGAGCGACCCTCCGCCCTCCAGCCGCGGGAGGGAAGCGCCTTCCTCCTTTCCCCTCCCCTCCCGTCCCTTCCCCTCCCATCTCCTCTCTTCGCCTCTCCTCCCCACGACGCTCCGAGCGGCGCCCGCGACCCGGGGACTTCTTAGTCTCCCGGGGTGCACACGGGCTCTGCTCGCCCGCCTCCTGCCAGGCAGTCTTCTCCCGCTCCCCTTGGCAGTTCAGAACGGGAGGCCGCATTTCCCCCTCACCTTTCAGGTGCTCAGCCGTTTTGAGAGGAGTGAAGGGTAGTACTTTTTGACATTGCCAGACCAGAGGCAGGGTCTGGGCATGTTAGGTCTGTGAGAGGACGCCCTTTTCTGGGGTTTGCTGCTCTGTCTGTTGGGGGTAGGGTAGAAGTATTGCTAAGCAGAGGCTTGGGGTGGCCTCCTAGCTCTTTTGTCAGTGTTTTCATTGTTACTGTCATTCACGAAAGGGGCAGCTGGAGATGGCATCAGCAGTTTTTCCTGAGCAGCCTCCTCAGTCTCCAGTCGCTTAACACCAAGCAGGTGCTGGAACTACTTAACGCGTTGGGTCAGGTTTTGAGAGAGTTTAGTCTTCTATCGACACTGTCCAAAAATACTTTAGAGCTCTTTAGGTGAGAGAGTGTAGGGACTTTCGCTTTAATAAAGCTCTTGTTAGAACGACTGTTTTCTGGGATTATTTTCAGGAGTCACATTTCTGATAAGTTGACAAAATTCCACTGTGATTCCTGAATTTTCAGTCATTTGGTATTGGCTTATCAATACCTAGACCCAAATCTTTAGTGTGGGTCGGATCATGTTTCCCTTTGCAAATAATTGGGTTGGATAGAGACATGGTTTGTGAGAAAACAAAGATTTGGAAGAAAATTCATTTCTCTGAGGTTGCTAAGCTCGCTCATTAAATACATGCACTTTACTGACTCACTGAAGATTTGCTGTGTTAAGAAGACATAAAGGATTTGCAAGCCTAACAGGTAGCTATAGTTTTGCATTAAGCAGATGACTTTTAATGGTTATAGTGGCTTCCCTCATGGTTCTAAAGTGCTTCGTAAACATTTCATCAGTTCTCACAACCTTAGCATGTCAGTTAAGCCTTTCTTGTTCAGCTTATGGGGATATTCCCAAGATTCTGTACAAACCAGTGGCAAAACAGGAATAGGAGTCCCTGGCTCCTGGTGTTGTCTTCCAATCAATGCATTATTACTATTAAAGTTATCAATGAATAATAGTCTTTTCAGGGTTGTGAGTCACTAAACTTTTTCTTCAATGTGTTTTGAAGAGATAAAAAGTCACAGTTTTCATTTTCATGGCCACTTTTTGGTTAATTTATTTTGTTTTCTATACCTTTCAAAAGTGTTTTAAACTTTTGCACTGAAAATGTGGCAGGAATTTTTATAGATTCTTGAACATTCTTTGCATAGTAAAATTAGGCATAGTTCACACTTCAGACTTGAAAAGACTTCTTCAGTAATCTCAAATATAAGAACCCTTTAATCCAGCTGAAAACATTCTGTGATTAAAACTATTTATCAGTAGTGAACTAAAATGGACAACTTTCTTAAAATTTTAAAATATATTCTTATTTCCCTAAATTCTGAATGAAATCAGTAATGCAATTTTGGTAATGTGAATTGTCATGGAGAACCTTATTGTTAAAAAAAAAAAAATTCAGACCATGTGGGGTGTGTGTGTGTGTGTGTGTGTGTGTGTGAGAGAGAGAGAGAGAGAGAGAGAGAGAGAGACTTTTAAACTTGAGTAATAATGAGGGTGAATTTAAAGCAATTTTTAGGGGAATTCTCTGGCGGTCCAGTGGTTAGGACTCTGTGCTTTCACTGCTGAGGGCGTGGGTTCAAATCCCTGCTCAGGGAAATGAGATCTCGCAAGCCATGCATCGCTGCCAAATTTAAAAGAAAAAAAAAGGCAATTTAGTTATAAAAGCTGATTTCATATTTTAAAAATGAATAAAAATATACGTAAGTAAATTTTGACTTGATCTAGTGACTTCTAGACCCCATTGTATCTAGATTGATAACATTGACCATTGGAAAAATTTTACTTGTATTATTATTGTTCCCTTAAACTAGGCCTAAAAACATGTAGTAGGAGAGAGACAGATGTGCTTTTGGATTGTCATTCTGTAATTCTGCAGCATTCAGATTGTGTCCATAGAATTAAAGTGCTCAATTACTGATAAAATGGTGAGATAACATTTGCTTCAGTTATATAGCTAGTTCAGAAAAAAAAGTGTATACATACATGTGTTATATATCTACATACACACCTTCGTTTTTATTTACCCCTTGTTATATGCTAGATCCATTGATAAAAGTATCAAGTATTCCCTGCCCTCCAAGAAGATATTGGAGGATAAATTCACCCTAATTATTACTCAAGTTTAAAAGTCTCTCTCTGAAGTGTAGTAACTCAAGACAAAAAATAAATATCAGATAAATTGAGGCAGTGCTTTTAGGAGTTTGGACGAGGGTGGAATCACTTCAAAGGATTTGAATTATGCTTTGAAGGAAAGGTATTTGAGTAGATTTGAAAAGGGAGAAAGTACATTGGGGAACACCACAAAGATACAGAGGCAGGTAAGCGTAAGTAGGCCAATTTAATAAGAATGGAAGGTTCTCACGGGGTGTAGTTCACGAGCCTGGTTGGAGCTAGAGTGTAGATGCCTGTGAATGCTATGCATCATAGGGATTTAACTTATGCAGTAGGTAATCAGGACCAGTGCAGAAGTTTCTGAGTAGGGGACTGATGTGCAAGTAGCATTTTAGGAAAATTAATCTCATAGGAAGGTTAATCCTTGCTTCTTTATGGGTATACAGCAGGGATCAGCAAACTCACTATGTCTGCAGTCCAAATCTAGCCTGTGGCCTTTTTTTTTTTTGTGGTAAAGTCCACTAACAGAATGGTTTTTAATTTTTTTAAAAATTTATTTATTTAATTTATTTTATTTTTGGCTGCGTTGGGTCTTCGCTGCTGCGAGTGGGCTTTCCCTAGTTGCGGCGAGCAGGCCTCTCATTGCAGTGGCTTCTCTTGTTGCGGAGCATAGGCTCCAGGCGTGCAGGCTTCAGTAGTTGTGGCACATGGACTTAGTTGCTCCATGGCACGTGAGATCTTCCCAGACCAGGGCTCGAACCCGTGTCCCCTGCATTGGCAGGCGGATTCTTAACCACCACGCCACCAGGGAAGCCCAGTTTTTAATTGTTGAAGGGTTTAAAAAACAAACAAGAACCAAGAAGTGAAATAGAGTCTGTATGTGGCCTGTAAAGTCTAAAATATTTACTATTTATTTGGGCCTTTACAGAAAAAAATTGTCAACCCATAGTATATATTTGTGGTTCTCAAAATGTTGTCTGTAGATTAGCGGCATAATGTGTCTGTACTCTGTATTTTTTCCGGATTTGCTATATCTTTCATTTCATTATTTCAGCCCTTATGATCTTCTGTCTGGACAGTTATAACTGCCTCCTAACTGTCCTTCTTTCTGCCAACTTTATTCCCTTTAAGTCCATCCTCTGCATTGCTCCCTGAATAATCTATCTGACCACATAATTTCTTTGCATAAATCTCACTGACCCATCTTTCCTGTTGGATAAGGTCTAAGTCTCTTCATGACTTGGCATCTTCCTATCTCTTTGGCCACTTCCCCCAACCCCATCCCAGTTCTCCCTTTTACTACGCTTCAGCAACTGTCTAGCAGCTGTTCATTGTTTCTTTAAATATACTGTGCTGTTTCTTATCACTGTGTTTTTATTCAAGCTGTTTCCTGTGTTGGAATGCACTTTGCCAGGATAACTCCTTCTCATCTTTTAAGGACTCAGGTGTTAACACCTCCTAGAAGCCTACCCTGATGCCTTACCTACCCCTGGCTGTTCCTTTGTGTTCCCATAATATCCTGTGTGTATCTCTATATATTTACCTTGTTATCTGTGTATGTGGTCTTCTATAAGATTATGAACTCCTAGAAGACAGGGACTATGTCTTACTAATTTTTTTGTACCCCAAGTTCTCAGCAAGCACAGGTTTTGTACATAAATTTAATAAGTATCTGAACAAGTGAACATTAAAGGGCTTAGCATATAGTACATATGGACAGAGATATTGACATTTAAATCCCTAAGAACATGGCGGGTGATATAAGACCATTGCTAGTTAAGTCTCTGAGCGTAGTATAGGTGAAGAATCTTGGTGGTAGGAAAAGATTAGAAATCATGATTCACTAGTTGGGGACCTTATTTAATGTAAGATTTTTAAAGAAGTACGACATACATATAGAAAAGTGTACAGCTAGATGAAGTTTCACAAAATAGGCGTGTCATTGTAACTAGCACCCAGCTCAATAAACATCAGTAGTGGAATTCCCAACTCACACTGTATTCCTTGTATTCTAACACCATAGAAAAGTTTTGTCTGTTTTTGAACTCTGTATAAGTGGAATCATATAGAATAACTTGTTTGAGCTTCTTTTGCTCAACATTACATTTATGAGATTAATCCATGTTATACTGTGGTTTGTTCTTGTTGTGTTCTATTCTGTGAATAAACC